CCTCGCAGCCACTCACTCCCCACCTTTCCATTTGAAGTTTCGCATACCTTTTCCGTGCTTATAAGTATGTAAGGAACGCATCTGTGCGCTGTTTCAGACACATTGACCGGCGACCCTTTTTTTTTGCGCTTGACTCTTTATTTGGCCTGCTGATTTTTAGCTATGGCCGGGAACATGAATGGGCGCTTAACGTAGTTAAACGAGAGGGGGTAGGGGGGGGGGAGGGGAGAGGGAACACTGCCCGCCCGCTTGTATCGCTTTGGCCAGAAAAGGCTGCAGCCATTCAACCGCAGACGTCGCGAGCGAATCGATCCCGGCAGCCAAAGATACTCCCTTCTCCCACGAACTGAGCCTTAACCTCGAGTAGGAGAAAAGATGGCGAGAGGGCTCTGGCGAGTGGTCCTCCTGGTCCCAAAATGCGGCGCTAGCGCTTCACATAAATGAATTTGAGCTGGCCTGAAACAGGGTATGGTTCCCAGACTAGTAACTGAACATGATTTCTTTGTCCGAGAAGCGCATCCCCGTCCATTTCCCGTTCGGTAAGACGAAGAGTGCATCGTAAACGAATGAAACCGCAGAATGAAATGATCCTAAATGATGTTGATACTATCACAATGAAAACCTGATATAAGTGCCTTGTGAACAATTCCCTGCCTCTGTCAAAACGTTGAAAAGGTATCGTGCTGCATCATCCTCAGAAACACGTGTCATTCGATCTCGAAGACTTCAGTTGCAACTGAACGCTTTCACGAGAACACCTCAAAAACTTGTTGTGTTCGCGCTCTATAAAAACCATGAACATTTATATTGAAGGAGTTGGAATAGCATACTAAGTGGAAAAACTTACCTTTGAACTAGGAATCAAAAATAACGGGTCCAATACCAACAGCCCGAGGCCCGCATGCGACGAACGTCTTCGTTCTTCGAACGAACTTAGCGCTGACAAAAGGTACTGTCGAAGAAGAGCATTTGCGTCGAACACTGAACGAAGAAAGTTTGCGATGTTGTCAGCTACCGGCACTAACACAACCCAATCAAAAGAAATAGAAAGGAAAGATTTACGTCAAATCAAAGAGATACAACAGTTGAAGAGAACTTAAACGCCAAACGAACTACTTTCGACAGCGGCGAGCGGTCGCGTCGCGCCATTGCATGGGCGCGTTGAATCTGTGCCTGGCGCAGGAGGAGATCTCACATGAAAATTGGAAGTTGAAACATGCAGTGTTTGACAGATTGGAAGGTCAATCGATATCCCACGATATGTTTCATTTCTCTGTCGCCGACGCGTTCCTGGAGTCACTTACATAGGGACACCCAACAGGTCGATGCGCGGCATTTGCAATGAGTATGTACATATAGTGGACGTGTCTTGCCGTTCAATCCAAATCTGCCCTCCGGAATTCGCGGAAATGTCTCTGAAGGGAGATACGGACGGCACTCATCTCTGATCTGTTCGCGAACAAGTTTCAGAAGGATATGCCAGCGCAAGGCGGCCGATGGCTAGCGGGACTAGGCGCAGCTGCTTCAGGAGCCACAGAGTGATGGATTCCTTGACTTTCGGGAAATTTTTGCTTTTATTCACAACACTTCGTATGGGTGCCCTGTCGGGTCATGACGTGGATGGGCCAGCGGCCCGAGGTTACGGTACCGCAGGAAGCTGGCGCGAAGGCAACTGGAGACGAAGAGTAGATTCGGACTGGTCAGTGAGTATTCACGAGTGTGACGGTTCGCCCCGACGCCGTCTTCCACTCCCGTCCAAGTTCGCTTCCTCCTTTCTTTTGATGTTAATATAATAAATATGTATAGGCCTAAAACTCTTTTGTATTCAAAACGCTACACACATTCAGATGCAGGAGTCAATGAACCTGTAAATCTGATATGGAGTATCCGGGCGAATCAATTTTTTGAGGTATTACACACTTTTCGAAATAACTTTACTCTAAGCAATAGTTTTTACTGTCAAAAAAAATATACATCTGCTTTCAAATAGGCGCCTCACCCCACCGCTACCCAAACCGCTCCCCCTTCATTCTTGATAGGTGCACATATCAGAAGAAGATCGGAAGGATTTCAATACTGGACGATCTACTGGCATTACAGTGTGGCTTTACAATTTTTTTTTGTTTTAAATACGCATATTTCAAAAAAAATTAAAATAAAAAATTCAAATTGAGAATGAGCAGCTTCTAACCTCTTCTTTTGGCATGGAGTCTAGTTTTTAATTTGTACTTGGAAATGCACACTGTGCCATTAAAGAAGCACTTTAACTGACTTAATGCAACATGTCACTAACAAGCTCCTGTAGTCCATGGCGACGAAGATCCAGCCCTTTTCAGGCCATTTGTGCCAATCGTTCCGCCTGATAGAAACGCGTCGGCCGTTGGTGGATAGAGTAAAACTTGCCA